AGTTATTTGTGCATCATCAGGTACATTAATACAAGGTGATACCCAATGTTATATTTGTATACCTCGCTGGTATATAGTGGTATTGCACTAATATGGCTAAAACAAAATATGCGCAGAAATATAAATGGTGCACCAGATACAACGTGATACCTAAAATGCGCACACTTTGCAACTCATGTCAGTACTTACATCTAGTTGCTGCAGGAAAAAAGATGAGCCAAATACAACGTGATACCCAAATGGTATCATTATACCTGATTGGTATATAGTTCTACTATACTAATACACCATCTATGCTAAAACTACAGATGAACATTAAAGCTTAGACCATCATCACATTCGAAAGCAGATCATTTAACTTCTGTCACAACTACTTTGTATGTTGCTGGAGGTGTTCACTTCATCTGCCCCTAATTTTTACTTGCTGAATCCATTAAACCTTACCCTCTGGCAAAGGAATGGACCTCGACATCCTAATAAACCAATAACTTTATGGAAGAAGCCTAAGAAAAACCTAATAACAAGCTGAAATCGGAAACAAAATCAGCAAATTTTCAGCATCAAGAGACATAACTATACTGATAACCCCCATATACTTGAAGAAATCTATTACCACATATTTTGAACCAGAATAATTAAATATGACCAAAGAAACATTAGCAACTGGAAATATTTTATAAAGGCACAAGTTTCCTACAGTCTTGAATCAGCAGAAGGTCATTTACTACTAATAATACCATACTTCACCAAAAACTATTAAAATCTTGCAAAGTTTTCATGATACAATTAACTAAAACCAAAAAGAGACCTATACTACTTCTTGCGTTTCTTTCCACGAGTCTTTTTAGGTGCTACTGGAGCCTCAGATTCACTTGATTCGCCATGCAACTGCTTGTTCCTCCCATAGTGCCACAACAGTATACCAAACCTAGCTCAAAAACCATCCACATCAAAATTGGCAACAGAGATTGGAAGATCTTCAATAATATACTCTGCAAAGCAAGCAACATATACTCCACAATCTCTGAAATAAAACAAATGAATAGAATATAAAAATCAATTAGAAGTGAAAATGTTAATATGAATGAGGAAAACAAAGTAAAAAAAAGTAACTATTCTTATGAATTTTGCTGTGTTGGCAGATTTGTAATCAGTTCAATATCAAAAGGATTAGTCAACTTCTTTCCCATGTGCAGACCATTTTCTACTACAATGTCACTTCTTTGGTTATAAAATTCAATACTAACTAGAAATAGGGGGATCAACACAGCATAAGCCTTTGCCACTTTCTGAATAGCTTTTTTGTGCTTTC